GCCTGAGCTATGGCCAGGACTTGTAATTTCCTGAGGGTAAAAAATCTGCTCTTATGGAGTGTAGGGCTGCAACTTTGCCTTCTGTTTTGCAGAGCTACGACACACTCCAGACATGAGAGTTGTCCCAGCTTTTCCAAAATGCCAATACAATCATAGGTCTGCAAGTGTGCACAGAGGTTTTAAGTTGTCCTGCTTCTGTTCTGGCTCAGGCTCTTGTCTTTCAGATGTCTGGGGTCAAGCTGGAAAGGGAAGTCAGTGAGTGTACTGGTTTTGCCTGGGATAGAGTTAAGTTCTTCCTAGTAGTCTGTATGGGGCTGTGTTTTGATTTGTGCTGAAAATAGTGTTGATAATATAGGGATATTTTAGTTGTTGCTGATCAGTGCTTACCCGGCATCATGGCCTTTTCTGCTCCTTAGACTGCCCGCCAGCAAGTAGGCCAAGGGTGCCGAAGAAACTGGGAAGGGTCAGAGCTGGGACAGCTGTCCCCAGCTGACTAAAGGGGATTCCATACCATATTGACGTCAGACTCTGCAATAAAACTGGGGGGTGAAGTTGGTGGGGGCTGCATTGCTTGCAGACTGGCTGAGCATCAATCAGTTGGTGGTGAGCAACTGATTTCTTTTGCATCACTTATTTTTGCTTGCTTCATTTTCCTTTCTGAGAAAAGGTCACATTTGTGCTTGTCGTGGTTGGAGCCTGGTCAACAGCCAAGCACCCCGCAGCCGCTCACCCACCCTCCCTACCACCTGGCAAAGGGGGAGGGAATTGGAGGGGTAAAGGGAGACTCACAGGTTGAGGTAGAAACAGTTTAATAATGGTAACGAAATGAAAACAATGACAGCAACAGAAAATATAAATGGGCAACGCCCAATGCAAATGCTCACCACCTGCTGACCAATACCCAGCCTGTTCCCAGCTAGCAATCCCAAAATACCAAGATCCCACAATCGCAGTCCCGGAAGAGAGAGTCCGCCCACCCCGCTTGCCGATCACCCCCTCCTCTATATAGTGAGCATGACGTTACATGATATGGAATATTTCATTGGCCAATTTGGGTCTGGTGCTCTGGCCGTGCTCCCTCCCTGCTTCTTGTGCACTTGCACATGGGAGGGGCATGGGGTGTTGGAGAGCCCTTGAAATCTCAGCAGCAGCTGAAAACATCAGTGTGCTATCAGCATTCTTCTCATACCACACCCAATGCTGAATCCAAAACACAGCACTACTCTAGTTACCTAAAAGAAACATTAACTCTATTCCAGCCCAAACCAGGACAATGCTATACATTATAAGGACAGTTTACACCACCTGTGTGCATTAATGATGGTTTTGGGATGTGTAAAAAATGACCCACGGTGTGTGGATGGAGCAGAACTTCCTCTCTTATGGGGATTACAAGATACTGTACACATGTATGCTATGTCAAAATGGAGGGGGCTTAGTCTGCGCAGCATCAATTCTGATGTCCCAGAATCAGCAATTGGAGGCGGTGGGGAGTCTGCTTGTCCCAGAAACACAGGCCTCTGCATTTGTGCGAGTACAGCAGTGAGGCATTGCTCCATAGAGAGGGGATAAGGCTGGTCCAAGAACGCCTAGGAAGATGACCACGCTACTAGAGAGCTTTAAGCATTTTGTAATTCTTGTTAATGTATGTGAGGACATCTCTAGCTGAGAAGGAGTTGTCAAATGCCCTCTCAAGGAGGATGTCTAACCCTTGAGAGACAGGGAAAATCACACCACTATGGCTGTAGAAATGGTGGTTTAGCCACACCCTGCCCCTACTCAGCTCACCTGACTCTCCAAGTGCTCTCAGCTCTGCTCACGCCACCACTGCAGTCCCTGGCTGCTGGAGATCTCTCCTTGCCCCTTGCCTGCTCCCCAAGGCTTCCTGTGATCAGAGAGCCTCTGTCCTCTTAGCAGCAGCTCTTTCAATAGCGGACTACTGTGCTGAGGTTCCCCTGAGCCTTTTGCTCTCCAGGGAGAAAAGACTTAACTCCGTCAGTCTTTCCTCATAGGAAAGGTACTCCAGCCCTTTGATCACCCTTGACGCGTGCAAGGAGGTGGCAGCAGGCAGCAGTTCAGGATCGGTGGAGGTTGAGTCTGGGCACTCACATCCCAGCAGTGGAAGCCCCTGTGGGATCGTTTTTGGAGGACAATGGACACATCAGACAAGAGCAAGACTTCAGGTACATCGCAAAAGGGATGTGAAAAGAGGAAGAAGAAAAGAAGAAGAGAGTGCTGTACAGCTGGTGAATGATGAGAACATTTTGACTTTCTTTGGCCAGAAGCCTTGGGAGCAGTAAGCGGGAATGCAGAAAAACAAGATAAGGATGCTGAGATCTGCCTGAAGAAAACATGCCAGGCTACGGTTGATGGGAAACATCTGGCCATTTCTTAAACAGTGGAAAGTTTTCTACCTTGAGCTAAAAGTGTATAGAAGATTGTGTTTGTACTTGTAAGATTTAATTAACCAATAGGCTTTTGGATAGCAGTAACTAAATTGCAGCCAATGAGTTGTCGGAAGTATTATGGACAGGGGGTAATAAACAATCAAAGGTTAGTCTTAGGCACGTAAACAGTGTGTGAAGAATGCATGTAACCAATCAAGCCTTCTGTTTATGAGTGATCAGTTGCTAGGAAGACTTATGAATGCACTTGTATCGGCAATAAGGGGATTTTGATTTCTGACTCATAGAGTTGCCAGAGTCCGTGATACTGCTCAAGCCCCCACCACCAGAACATCAGCAACCAGGTTTTCCCAGGCAATTTAGCCTTGGAATCTAATCCATCTGATCATCCCAGAGCGAGCACCATTTTCCTGCGCAAGTCTCCAGAAGAAGCGCCTAGAGAAGAGCCGGACTAACAACTGTGTTTCTCATGGGCAGCTTGCAAAAATATAGAGCTCGTGCTCAACAACATTCACAGATGATTGCGCAGTCACTCCACCTAATCCCAGAAGCACAATCAAATGCCACATTAGCAACATGCTACCACATCGAAAACAGGCACTCAGATGGTTGGGTATTTTTGAGGAAAAACCTCATCCTCGCACAAAGGAAGTAGACGGGATGTTTTGGCCACACTGGATCCAAATTACCTCCCCTTCCTGACAGGGGAGGTGGAGAAGCTGGACGGCAAGAGAAATTTAGAGGAACAGAAATGGGAGGTGGAGTGCCACCAGAGGGGCTCCAGTCCAAGAAACGTCAGGAGAAGGACAAGAGGGAGTGCCCGGGAAGTGCCTGGGAAAGAGAAGAGGAAGGGCTCAAAAGTAAAAATGACCCCAACAAAAAGGGCAGAAGGGCCTTGTTTGTAGACCACAGTGGGGCAAGCTCAAAGCGCAGGAGCCAAGGTAGTCAGCAGCTCTGAGGAGCAGCTCAGCAGTGACTGGAACGTAGACCCTTGGTGGGAAAATTCCCACCATGTCAGAGCCTTCTTATGCTCCTCACAGTGCGGCACTTTCAGCATGTCAACCAATGTGTTCTCAGCAAGCCAGACAAAGGGCCAGCCCTCAGCTACGCTAGCTCTAAGTTGGGTTGGTCCAACTATCCTACACCTCACAGCAGAGCAACGTCTGGACCCGTGTCCCTATAGTCCAATGCAGATTTATTGTGAGGTCCTTGCATTCTCTCTCTCTGTGCACACAAAGCAAGAAATGGAGGGTGCAGCAGGCAGAGAATGCATTTCAGTGCTCGCTTTCCAGGCACCTCTCTGCCAGGTCAAAGCTAGCACCATGCGGCTGTAACTTCCAGTCCAGCCACCGTACTTATATCAAAGGGAACCCGCTACTCTGTGCAGCTCGTGAATACACCGAGCAAGAGTCCCCTTGCACACACCCTCATGAGGGTCACACAAGCACAGAAGGACACACGGTTTCCCATGCACACCTGCATGGAATCTTGCCAAAATCTCTGTGCTCACCTCAGGCCAGCATACAGTCAAGCACAAACAACAAAGCATGTGCGGGAAACCATCAGCAGCTGGGGACTCTGTTGAGGAGACACTGGGGACCACCTCGGCAGAACCGTACTCAAGCACCCTGGGAAAGGACCGGGCCCCAAACGTGCTCCTGGTCTTGCCTGAGGACCTGCAGTGACTGCACCAAGAGGAGAGGAGCCAAATGAGCCCAGCAAACTTGTCCTCCGAACACTGCTAGTGTTGCAACGGGCTCAAAGCCTCCCAGCAGAAGCCCGCCTGTGTGAAACAGTGAGCGACCATCAGAGAGGGATGGGTCAGCAAGACAGAAGGCATGTGGCGTGTCCTCTCTCATGCGAGTCCTTGGGCACACTCGGACAAGGAGCACAAGAGCGGTGCACATTTCCTGACAACTTTGTCACAAACAAGCCCACAGGATGACCCAGGTGCAAAGCCCCGGCCTGCACGGGATGCCACCAGCACTTGAGTCGAGTCTTCCTCCTGCGCTGACGTATTTCTGCCCCCGAAACTCTTGGGCCTCTCATCCCGGTACTTGCAGAAGCCTTCATATGGGAAAGCGCGTGACATAAGCCAGGAAATGAAAAGGCAGCAGTGCAGGAAGCCAGGACACAGCCCATGCCATTAGCTGGGATGGTTTGCATTTGGCATGAGCTCGCCAGGAAATTATTACTTCCACAGAGGGTGCCTCTGGGCCCGAGGCAGTGCTGGACGACTATAAAAGACAGCCCAGCTCTCTCCTCTCTCATCCACTTCTCTCACCTCCTTCTCCTTGGGAACCAGGTGAATGTGAAGCCTCTTCTCCTTCTCCTTTAAGATCAGGTCTTTCCTCCGTGTATGTCTCAGGTGACACGGGCTGTCCTAGGCCAGAGCTGGGAGCTGCTTCTCATGAGAGATGGAAGGGGGGAGAAGTTCTTCTGCAGAGAGAGCCTGGGACTGAGTGGAGGTGGATCCGGGGCTTTAAGCTGGGCAGTGTATGCTGGGCTCAGGGGTGCCTCAGCTCCACTGTGGTTGGGTGCGTTGCTTCTTCTCACGTGCCTCTGTTTTCTGCTCCCCGCTGCCCTGTCCCCCAGGTGCACCTCCGGCCCCGAGACATGTCCTGCTGCAGCCCATGCCAGCCCTGCGTGCCCTGCTGCCAGCCCTGCGGCCCGACCCCGCTGGCCAACAGCTGCAATGAGCCCTGTGTCAGGCAGTGCCAGAGCTCCACCGTTGTCATCCAGCCCTCCCCCGTGGTGGTGACCCTGCCCGGCCCCATCCTCAGCTCCTTCCCACAGAACACCGTTGTGGGCTCCTCCACCTCCGCCGCCGTTGGCAGCATCCTCAGCTGTGAGGGAGTCCCCATCAACTCGGGGGGCTTTGACCTCTCCTGCATCACCAGCCGCTACTGTGGCAGAAGGTGCCCCCCCTGCTAAAGCTGCTGGCAGCGTCCTTGGGCACGACCCTCTGAGACTTCAGAATATGGTGCTGGACAGAAGATAGAGCTTTGGACCTGGCTTCTCCTGTGGAGGGTGGCAGGGAGTGGCCAGCCTGCGCTGGCTAGAAGCGTGCTCTATGTTTATTTTTCTTCTTGCACTCTCTCTCTCTCTCTTTCTTTTGCTGTAACTATCTCCTAACACCAGCCTACCGGGAACCTGTTGGCCTCCCTCCCTCTGCAAGGCAGGCAGACGGACACCCTGCCAGAGCTTCACTGCATTGTAGTGCCTGGCCCTGTTGCCCCCTGGGAGCCACCTCCTTTTCTTCTTCAGACTCATTAAAGTTGTGCTGCATCCAAGCCCACGCCTCCGAGTCCTCCTTCCTTCTGGGGCAACTCTTCCAGTCTGCTCAGGAACAAAAAGGGGCTTTTTGGAGAGGATGCGTTTGGGCGCAAAAGAGCACCCTTCCTCATTCCCAGGGGAAGGAGAGGGTAGGACTCACTGCACCGGGTTGTCTTTTGTGCCCTGTGCCCTGGAGCTGAAGGAAGACATCTCTGGCTGCGCCACAGCCAGTGGCTATCAGTCTCTGCAGCCTTGCTGCCTCCCTTCCCAGGTGGGCCTGGAGCACTGGGCCCTGGACCACGTTCTGTGAATGAGGAGCCCAGCAACTGCTGCCCTTGAGTGAGGAGCCCACGGCTGCTGAAGGCCAATGGATGAGGTCAGCAGCCCCTCCGGCTCGCGGAGAACAGCCCTCCTCACGCCCCGGATGCACCTCTGCTGGGGAAGGAGGTTCAAATAGATGTAGTCTCCAAGGGGCAGCAGGAGTTGCACTGGGAGAACAGTGTTGCCTGGGGACAGCCCACAGTCTCATCTCCCCCCTTTCCCTCCCCTCCATCACGCGATCTGTGTTCCATGGCCAGTGCACACTGGCACAGGCACATGAGATCGGTACCTCATACAGTCCTTCAACACCCGGCAGGGCCCAGCTGCTGTCCAGACATGCAGGGCTGAGGTAATTCACAAGTTAGTACTGGTATCAGCCACAGATTGGAGTCCCTGCTGACAGCCCCATAGGCCACTGCAGCTCCAGCAGAGCACCCACTGCCCAAAGACCCATGGCTGCTCTCTGCTACTTTGTCTCCTCCAAGTCTCGGGCAGCTTTTCTGGGCCCCTAAGGCTGCACCACTGTCAGGTCCCAGCTGTGCTCTGGAATGGCTCTGTGCAAGAGCTGTGGCCCCTCCATCCCCACTGGGCCATCGTGGCAACTCTGGGACACGCTTCTGTGCTCAGCATCTTCTCTGATCTGCCTCTGCTGGGCTATTCCCAGCCCTCCCGCGTTGGCTGGTGTTCTCAGTCACTGGCTGGACCAAAACACTTGGCATATTAGAAGCCTTGGTCAGGAGGAGGTGCCGAGGCAGGAGGACAGCCTTGCACATCTAGAACTCTGGAGACTGCCTTCGCCAGAGGAAGAAGGTGAAATCCAGGCAGAGGTTCTTTCTGCCTGGAGGCTCGGTTAGGAGAGCCTTCATCTGCTTCCTGGCCAACCAACTGCAAAGTGGGGTGAGGAAGGTGTCGAGGCACTGACCCCATCTTCCCTGCTGTCAGGGTCCCTGAAAGCCCAGCTCTGCAGGCCACAAGTGGCACGTAGCATCAGCTCCTTGAATATCCCTGCAGGAAATCCCCACTTTATGGCCATCGTCCCACCATTTACAGGCAGGAGGTGACTGGGTGGGCAGACAGCAGCAGTGCCCAGGGCATCCCCACAGCAACTTGGGCTCTCTGCAGCCCAGTGGACACCTGCCTTCTCATGGCTTGTTTCATGGGTCCGTCTTCCCCGAGTTTGTGCGAACAACTTGGGGCTTTGCTATTAATGCCAACATCCAGGTATGCTTTTCAGTCGTACTTGAAAATTTCCTTTTAGATGCCAGCCTGCCTTCAGCCCTGGGTAATGCTCCAAATCCTGGCATGCCCTGGTTATATGTGGTCTCCTGGGTGGAGAAAAAGAACTCCCAAAGGCACCGCTGCTCTCCAAAGAATGGCTCAGGCATGCAGTACCCAACGGAACACTTGTGGTCCCGCTCACACTCCTCCTGCCTGCAGTTCGGGCCAGAGACACTGTCTTTGTTCATCTCACTAAGCGCTGGGCAGCTTCTTGCTTTCTCCAGAGACCAAGGCTTCACCTCCTCCTCATAATGAGCCCTGCTGCCCAAGCACTGGGGTCAGCTGCCAGCACACATGCATCTCCAGTCCCTCTTCACTGTGTGCGAGACCCCCTATGGGCAGCCCTATGGGTCAAGCATTGGTTGTGTCCCAAGGAAATGGCGGTACACGACAGGTACCAACCCAACTGCAGCACAAACTCTGGGGATGACCCTGCCCCTACTCAGCTCACCTGACTCTCCAAGTGCTCTCAGCTCTGCTCACGCCACCACTGCTGCTCACACGCAGGCCAGGGTCTTCACAGCACTGCAGTCCCTGGCTGCTGGAGATCTCTCCTTGCCCCTTGCCTGCTCCCCAAGGCTTCCTGTGATCAGAGAGCCTCTGTCCTCTTTGCAGCAGATCTTTCAATAGGGGACCACTGTGCTGAGGTCCCCCTGAGCCTTTTGTTCTCCAGGGAGAAAAGACTTAACTCCGTCAGTCTTTCCTCATAGGACAGGTACTCCAGCCCTTCAATCATCTTTGACGCAAGGGGGTGGCAGCAGGCAGAAGTTCAGGGTCGGCGGAGCCCAAGTCGGGGCACTCACATCACAGCAATGGCAGCCCCCACCTACAGAACATCAGCAAACATAAACGGGCCATAAATCAGTGTCTGCTCTACCGTAGAACTTCATGGGTGGCAGGCAGGGCCGCCCTGTCGTCTCACCACAGGATACAGGGGGGTCTCTGCTCTGGCACACCTCCCACCTCCTTTCTATCTCCGTTCCTCCACTGAACTTGGTGTTCACGCAGCTGCTGCAGCTCCTCCTCACAAGTCTGATGGCACGTCACCATGTCCCTTCTTAAATACGTTATTGTAGAGGCTCAGATGATTGGCTCAGGTTTCCAAACAGAATTGGAGTTGGCTTGGAGCTGGGAGATCTTCGAGAAGCTTCTCACAGGGGGCCTCCCACATAGCCCCCTCTCCTGCCACCAAAAATACTCCACCGCTCACTCAACCCAGGACATAAGTTGAAAAAGATAATGGGTCGATGTAAAGACAGGGGGATAACTTAACAGTTACCAACACAGGAAAAACAGGCTAGACTTGGGGAAATTTCCTTTAACCTATTACCAATGAAAAATAGAGAAGCACTCCATAAGAGCAGGTTTTTGCCCCTCAGGAAACTACGAGGCAGATTCCTTTGGGAAAGTGCCCTGAGGGTTCAAAGGGGCCTAGGGAGATCATGAAATACAGCAGTTAAGATATGATGATAATAACACTAAGGAAATCACAATAATTAATTCAAACCATTTCACTGCCAAAAGAATCTACCAAGGACTTTAGATGGCTGTATTTTTGGAAGATTTTTTCCAACTCTTTAAATGCAACAAATTATACGATTTTCCAAAGTTACATCTGTTCCTTAATGAAGACTGGACTGATTCCAAAATACCTTCACTCCACCTCCAAAGCTTCTTCACATACACAACTTCCTTCGTAACTCCCTCTATTTCCTCCAACATTAAGCAGCACAGGGGATGTGCATTGTGGGGTTGCGGTCAGTACACAAGTCTCTTTCTGCACAAAGATGGACTTTGCCTGAGTTGATCCTGAACAAATATCAAGGTGTAGGTGGTTTCTTCTAAATCACAAGTCCCTGCCTTCCCAGACACAGTTGCTAGGCCATCAGAATTTGTGATTTTATGGGGGCTACATAAGTCCTTGTACTTGAAAATCAAAGAAGATTGACACAGTGCTGTTTGACTCACCCTGTGGCACCCAGGGTCAGTCCTATATCTCACCGCCGAGCAACACCTGGAGCCCAGTGCCTTTGGACCAATATCCCTTTGGTGCAAAGTCTCGTCCACTGCCTCGCTCTGCACGGGGCTGGAGACATGCAGAAGTGCATCTGGCATTGTCAGCTAAATGAGAAGCCTGTGCCCCGTCCCAGTCACCAGCAACACTACATCATAAGGGCATTGATTCAGGGACAATAGCCTGCGTAAGCGGGCAGGCTTTCTTGGCCTTCCTCCATCTATGTAGAGCAAGAACTGGCGGGCACAGGAGGCAGAGACTGCACTTCAGTTCTCTGGGCACCTCTCTGCCAGATCGAAGGCACCGCTCTCCAACTGCAGATGGATTCCCCTGGCATAGGCAACCTGCTACTCTGCGGTGCTCATGGACACAACAAGGGAGAGTGCCCAGGCTATGACCTGCACATGCCCTCACGATGAGGGTCACACAAGTACAGAGGGACACACGTGTGCTCACACATGCCTGCATGGAGCCATGAAAAACTTTGGGCGCTCACATAAAGCCAGGAAACCACCGGCAGCTGCAGACCCTGTTGTTGAGATGCTGGGGACCACACTGGCAGAACACAATTCGAGAACCCTGGGAAGAGAGCAGGCCCCACTCATGATCCTGGTGGACACGAGTGCAGCAAATTTGTCTTCAGAGTACTGTTAGTGTTGCAATAGTGCAATAGAGAGATGGGAGCAGGAGGTCAAAAAGCATTTGGCGTGTCATCTCTCATGGGCGTCCTTGGGAACACTCGGACAAGGAGCTCGAGAGCGGTGCCCATTTCCTGACAACTTTGCCACAAGCAATCCCACAGAAATGACGCAGGTGCATATCACCTGACTGCACATGATGCCAGAAGCACTTGAGTCGAGTCTTCCTCCTGAGCTGACGTATTTCTGCCCCGGAAACCATTGGGCCTCTCATCCCGGCACTTACAGAAGCCTTCATATGGGAAAGCGCGTGACAGAAGCCAGGAAATGAAAAGGCAGCAGTGCAGGAAGCCAGGACACAGCCCATGCCATTAGCTGGGATGGTTTGCATTTGGCATGAGCTCGCCAGGAAATTATTACTTCCACAGAGCGTGCGAGGCAGTTCAGGACGACTATAAAAGACAGCCCAGCTCTCTCCTCTCTCATCCACTTCTCTCGCCTCCTTCTCCTTGGGAACCAGGTGAGTGTGAAGACTCTTCTGCTCCTCCTTCAAGATCAGGTCTTTCCTCCGTGTATGTCTCAGGTGACACGGGCTGTCCTAGGCCAGAGCTGGGAGCTGCTTCTCATGGGATATGGAAGGGGGGAGAAATTCTTCTGCAGAGAGAGCCTGGGACTGAGTGGGGGTGGCTCCGGGGCTCTGAGCTGGGCAGCGTATGCTGGGCTCGGGGGTGCCTCGGCTCCACTGTGGTTGGGAGCGTTACTGCTT